CAAATAACGGGTCTGTAAGTCAGGAATCCCAACGGGTTGAGGAACCCTCACGCGCGCTTTGAGGCCAGGGTTCGAAGGCCCTGCAAGCCACTGAAGAATCCATAACAAGATTCTGTGGAGTGTATTATGCCAAAACAAAAGCCACCAAGCACACCCCGAAGTGAAACGAGAACTTAACCACAAACCCTAGAAGCAATGCACTGCTGGTTGACTCGAGAGCTCGTTTAGGACTCCAAGACCCGTACCCGGTCAAATAGAATACCTTTGTCCCACAGGCTTTCTTCAGGCAGAACTTCTCGTAGGCCTTCAAGTCTTAGAGACTATAAGCTCCAGGTCGAAACCCTAAACTTGCCCTATGAATCCTGAACCCTAGACTTGCCCGAAATCCTGAATCCAAAGCACAAAAGCTTAAGTCCTAAGCCCCCTTGTTGCAAAATAGCCTCAGGCCCACACCCGCCCACTCACGGCCGCCTGTAGTGAGGTCGTTCTGTGGACCTGCGTCTGTAGATTCCAAACCGCCACAATCACTATTCACTATTCCTCATCTTATGTCTCTTTTGCAGTAGGGGGAAGTGCTGCTATCAACACCGTCAACCCACAGCCCAAAGCAGGTTTTTTCTGGTTCAGGCTGTCTTTGGTCGCTGCTTTAACGTTAAAGTTACAAGAATGTAGGCGTGAGAGATTTTGTCAAACTCACTCGGCTTGATGGTAAGCTTCTGGGAAATGCTCAACATCATGAACTCTGGCAAACTACGCAAAGCAAAGTCCGCTTCATAAAGGCTTCATACAAGGCTAGTACGTTCAAACAAGCTTCCACCAATGGAGCACCTACGTGTGGAGGCAGCTGGGGTGGAAAGGCGCCATGCTATGGCTACAAAACCTGGCAACAGTCACCTAGACTGCTACTAGGCCTTCAGACCAGAAGTGGGCTTTTAGTTAGGTAGTTCAGGAGGATGACAGGGGTCTTCGTGAACAGACCCGGACTGCGCACTGAGAAACCAAGCCTCGTGACCCCCTAAACGGTTGCTGTGCTTCTGGCATGCTAGCCCCTCTCCTGGATCCTTCTCGGAACCCTTAAGCCACAAACAAAAACCTTTCATTCCACCCCTGGCACCTTCACGTTCAAGCCTGGGTAAACCTTGAAGTGCTTCTTTGCGGTCACCTTATTGCCAAAGAGGTGGATGTTGACGGATGAGGGGTTTGTGCTCAGGGCTTCGGATGTAGGTGTTAGGGTTTAGAGTTGGGGATTCAGAGGTTGCAGTCCTTTCAGATTTAGGGCGTGCTTCGACTGCTTTAAGAATGACTACAACATGCAGGTTCGAAAGCTTGGGGTCCCATCATACCCTTTGATTATACTAGAAATCTAACACACCACACAAAACATTGAGGGTGGAGACTTTCAGTTTCGGGCTTTAGGGTTGGGGGTTTAATTAGGGTCCAGAGCGGTCATGGAAAAATTGCGCATTGAATGGTGCCGGGCTAAGAACTTGAGAGCTTCAACAGGCCAGGGCAACCTTCTTACATGGGCTGTTAGATATTGACGAGGCTTTTTCAGATATAGCTCCCCAGACTTTAAGACTTGAGAACTACATGCTGGCAACTAGACTCTCTGTGCTAAGGGGCTAGGATTTGGAGCTTAGAGTTTAGAGGCCATGTAGGTGGTTCAGAGTTCCAATGGGTTACGGCTTTGCTCATCCTGCCGCGACAAAAACTGTAATAAAAACATGTACCCAACAGTAGTATCATTTCAGGTCCTGGGCCCGCCATCAAAGCACCTGGGTTCTTGGGACCGGGCGTGAGGGTTTTTGGCCATGAACTTGCGCTGTCGGCCTGGGAGGAGCATGACTGGAGCTCTTGTAAATGTTTCTGTGTATAGCAACCTTGCAAAAAAGCCAATACGAGCCACAAATGTAACCCTCCTTTTCGGGTCTTCCGGGAGGAGCAATTGCAAAGTTTGAGCTTACTGTGGTTTCCAATCTTGCCACACTGTGCACTCGAGGCCCAAGGAAACAGACTCATCCCTCCCCCTAATAGCTAGGCCCCCAACGCTCATGACAAATGTTGCCCCCACTATGAAGGCATGGCATATGATGGCTCGATTGTTGGGTGGAAGGGCTGTGCAAGCTTTCGTCCATCCTGTGTTTGGTATCCGGATGTCACGGTGGGAAGGCATCACATGTGGTACTTCTCAAACCAGAGGGCACAAGCATCATGGCGGGCCCCATCAAGAATCTGCACGGGCAATTTTGATAAATTCGAAAATCATCGCTTCACCTATAGACTAAATGGCATGTGCACATGTAATCTAACGGTCAACATTAATGTAATATGAGGTAAATATTCCTGCTATCATTACTTCATTCGTCGACAAACAGAGACCCTGACTTGAAGCATGTTTCCATAGTGATCTCATATCGTGTCTCTCAGGGGTCAAAGTTACGGGTTACAAGCTTCTGGTGGTGCTGCAACAGCGTTGCTGTACCCAATGCTGTTGAGCAGCCCAATAGTAGGCAAGTCGGACAGATGCTCAGCAGTGCATATTTTTGGTATTGGGCTCGAGCCTAGTTCCTGTGTGCCTCCTGAATTCAGCGGGCATATTTAGAACGATTGAAGGAGCACTAATTTCTTGCCCCCAACAGCAACAAACCCTGCCAAATGAAGCCCCTGTTGTACCACCACAATAGAACAGTGAACGTACTCATTTGGGATTCACCAAACTGGCCTCAAGCCGCGTCCATGAGCGATTTATCCAGGAGCCTCCAACCGGAAAAAATGAACTTCAACCCCGGAAGCATACACCGTCTGTATGGGATGAAAGATTAAAGGACCCACAATCCGTTTCTAGTTGAACCTTATCTCCTTGCTGCACTAGCGAATAAGGGGCCATGGGCGCAGAATCCCAAAAACATGCAATCCAAAATCCCCAGCCGAGCTCATATTTCTTCTTGCGGGTGGGACCCCGCATACCCTGACCTGTCTTTGAACAGCCAGCCCAGGATGCGTGCAAGACTTCCTCCATGAAAGGCATGACTTGATGGACCCCTTACTCCCTTGAAGCTTTGACAACACAATCCCGCTCTACCTGCAAACAGTTCCAATGAGCGCTCCGTGACTAAGGATGCGGCAAATGACCTTTCCAGCTTCGACGTAGTCAGAAGGCAAGGCTTTGGGACCGACGTGGGCCTGCGGGCTTAGCATATAAAGTCAAGGATCTAGGCTTCAGGTAGATAGGTCACGGCATGTTGTTGAATACTACCACCTGCCTCTTGGGCGAAAGCCGTCCCCCTTGTCGCCGACACCACCACCAACGTGAACGAGAACTTCAGACTATAATAGCCTGCTGCAGCGCAAGATATTTGGTATTGCCCACGCAACATGCCTGGAAACTCAACGTTTCCTAATCATAGGCCGTAGGCCCCATACCCGGACACCAAAAGTAGCAATGCCCCAGGATGGGGGGGATGCTGATTAGGACTAAACGCAACATTGACCAGAAAGAGACAAAACCCTTGGGTACTGGAAAAGCAGAGCTCCACTTAGATCCCCGCGAATACCAATATCCTACCTTTACATACGGATCCAACGACAACCATAACTCCCTGGTGCTTAGGAGGTAATGGGGGAATGGATCATGGGGATCAATATTGGGGATTATATAGGGACTACTATCGGGATCCATTCCCCCATTCCCTCCTCAGCACCAGGAAGATAAGAAGCAGCTTTAGCAAAGCCTGCACGGTACAGCCCCAGTCTTCAAACCCACAATCAACCTTTTGCTTACTGATAATAATGCCCTACCCTCTACATGAGATGTAGAGTCTAAACTCCTAGTATCCCCCTTCGTAACCCCTTTAAGTAGTAGTCCCCTAAATAATCGCCTTGAAAGAATTTAGGCTGAAGCTCATGTTATCTTACTAGTGGCAGCTGACCTTTCAACTCACCATACATTCTAGTTTGTCAAACCCAATCCGAATCCCGAAGCCCTACAACCCTAATCCTAATCCGGCAACCCCACGTAAACCCTCACCCCCCCAAAAGAAACTGCCAGCTGGGTTGGCCTTTTTGGGCTCGCGCTGGCCGCAAGGGCTTGCCTTTGCTCTGCAAGGAGTCTGGCTCTTGGATTTGGGGCTTACCATGGTTTTACTCGAGGTGCCAAAATCATTCGATTGAGCGTTGTGGGTTTTGCGGAAGGGGAATATTGGAGAATCAAACGGGAAAAGACAATGCAAAATGAAATGGACAGTGGGCTCGAATGTGTTTAGAAGTGCAATAGCTCATATTCTGGTTCCAGATCCCTTCTAGAACTATGATAGACAGCCCCCAACAAACCTCAAAATGAGGTTGCCAACTACTCAGGCCCCTTTGGGCGGTTCTGACTTCCTGCATTGGGATGTGGGATGATTTGGGCACTTAGCCTCATAGCTTGGATTGGAATGATTTGGGACGGCAATGGACTTGTCACAGGAAAGAATCCCCTCCCCCTACAGCCCTTCAAGAAGTTGGCTCTGTAACCTGAACTGTCGGAACTTTAGTTGACAACCAACTCCAACTCCAGACTGACGTCAGAAAGTCTGAGCCCCAAAAGCAAGTCCCACACCCCCAATAAGTGCTGAATTCTTATGTCGATGAAAACGTTAAAAGCAGAAAAATTTCAGGAGCCCTGAACGAAGTATTCAGGAGTTGACATTATCCTAGATCTCGAAGCTGGTTGTAAACTCACTGTTGTGCTCACCTCCTAGTTGCAAACACTAGGAAGTTCTGCTTGCAATTGGACCCATTTGGTTTAGAAGCATTTTCTTCTCCCAACCCTCTCCCTCGAAAGGGGCCAGAAACAAGGTTGATGCTGGCTTTGTGTCTCCTGAAACACAAGCCACCGACCCAAACAAACGAACATAAACCCCCACTGAAGCATATCCATGGGGCGGTTTCCGAGAAGGGGCTGTTGGGGAGCCTGTGCAACAAGGATTACCGGAAAAAATGGTTCTATGCAGCCCTGGCGCTCGTGGCGGCTTCCAGTACGACCTGAACCACAACAATTGACGCATAGGGTTTTGCAGGGTGAATAAGCAAGCATAGGCTAACCCCAC